GATCGGAGAAACTCGGGATTTTAGGCCATAAAATCTTTAATTGTTTCTATCGATATTCCAGTTGGTCTAGGAGTACTACTCGTGCCGCTAGAAAGAAAAGACGTGAGAAAGATTATAAATATCCGATTTCGTATGATTCGAGAAGTGTACGCTGTTTATTTTATGTGAGTTAAACATATGTCGTGTGATCAGCCTCAGACTCGGGACTTTATTTTTTGAAAATCCATTCGCGTAACAGTGAACTGAAAGTTTATTGTTTGACGTATATCGACACGAGATGGATGGAGGACGCCACCAGATAGCCCTGTGAGTACCGTGAGCTCAACAGGTCCTCTGGCATCGTGGGACGTCGCGTTTCAACCGAAGAGCTGAATCAACGTGCCCCTACATGAACAATTTGATCACATCGGATCATTGAGGTAACACAGACTTTATTTTGTTTGCTCGACTGAGCGAAGGGGCCTTTGTTCGTTTACTGGCCACAACGATCGCTATCCCCGAATCAAGCCTGCAACTGGGTGGGTTTTAAGGGGATTTGTGTGTGTGTGTGTGTTTGTGTGTGTATGAGTGAGGAGTGTGGATCCACATATTTGTTACTCTGACCGGTCTTACTATAGTATTTCTCTGTGATTTTCTAATCTGAGCTGATTAATACTGTTAAAGTTAGGTTTGTTAAAGTTTGTGTCCAGAGGAACACAATTGTTAATATTAGGTTGAAGTGTTGTAATCTAACTATAGAAAGTCATTCATTTTATGTGAAACGGTAACTCCCAGTTTGTGAGAGAATTTTAAGTTTAAGACAGGGAAGAGGATAAATTCGACCATATTAGTTGAAAGCGAACTGTTGGAGAGGAAGAGATTAGTTCATTTAAAAGTATAAAAGCCAGGCAATAGGTTGCATTAATCCATTTATTTGAGTATATTTTATTTGTATTTCTCTCCTGTTATTGTTTTGAATTCATTTATTGTGAAAGCCATACATCTACAGCATCTATACCTTTATTTTTTCCATTTGCCTACTTGAATTCATATTAATACCCCTTTGAACTCACTCATTTAATTGTGTAGTGTGTTGTTTCATTTCCTTGATTGAATTTAGTGAGTATTTGAAGTGATCCTAAGTCAACCAGAAATCGGTTAGTAATAATTTCCATCAGAAGACAGCTAAACAAAGGATCAATTAGAATTTCGAACTCAGGCCCTTATCAGTCCAGTGGTAAAGTGATAAGGGGGCTACATAAAATGGAGGCACCGCTGGGATCCTTTGTCTTCTGATCAGGAAAAAAAGAAAAAAAAACTAAAATGTCCTCAAAAGAGAAACAAATGTCACATGAGTTTCGCAGTTGATGTGAGACTGAACAAATTGACCCCCGACATGCAATTCTTCTTCTTGGGGTGCCATCTGACACTGATGTTGCCTTCATAGAAGACACAATCCAAGCCATTAAGATTTTTGGAAGATTTGGAAGAGGCGCTACAAAAGAAGGTTTGACACCAGAAACACTCCAGGTTCTGTGTGAGTGTAGAGAAAGTAGAGAAAATACACAGGTTCCCGTTGAAGTTGTGCCGTCATCTGGGGATGCCTGGAAGATCCTTGTAGCAGCAGGTGACGAACCCGTTGGTGATGTGTTTCAAGAGAAACTTAATCAGTTTCTGTCTCAGGAAGGCAAAACCATGAGTGACCTACAAGGTTTAGTTAATCCGTTGGTATCAAGCATGACTTCTCCTGAAGCCATCATTCGGGCGGTAGGGGAACTGCTAGAGAAAACCTCCAAGCCTGTGAGTGATGGCCAGGCTTATAGGCGTTTGAGAATTTTTTCTGGAGTAGTTCCTACGCCTGTCGGCGAAGAAAGTAGTGAGAACTGGCTGGAACAAGCAAGGCTAATGGTCACAGAGTGTGATTGTTCAGCTAAGGAGAAACGTAAGCGAATAGTCGAAAGCCTTAAGGGGCCAGCTTTAGAAGTAGTAAAGGCAGTGAGGGGCGACAACCCTGAAGCCACTGCACTAGAGTATCTTGAGGCTTTGGAGAATGCTTTTAGTACTTCAGAGTCTGGGGAAGACTTATATTTTGCTTTTCGATTGCTACGGCAAGAGCCGGGGGAGGCTCTTTCTGATTTCCTGCGTAGACTCGAGCGGTCACTTACCTTAGTAGTGAAACGAGGAGGGTCGACGCCACAGCGAGTTGATAGAGCTCGGATTGAGCAACTGCTAAGGGGTGCGGTGGAGTCAGACATGATGATGTTAAAGTTGCGGCTGCGTGAGAGAAGAGAAAGTCCTCCTACCTTTTTGAAACTCCTCAATGAAATAAGGGAGGAGGAGGAAACTGAGGCAGCTAGACGTAAACTCACCACTAATGTAAGGGAAACACAATCGAAAGACCGTACAAGAGGCCCTCTAGCTAGCCGGGATGGCTCAAAGGTTGAGGTAAAGGAGTTGCGACTTCAGTTAGGGGACCACAAGCAGTCTCGACTCCCTGAAGGAGTAGTTGAGAAAGAAAAAAACCCTTTACCGCCTTTAACTTCAGAGGTGCAAGCACTGAAAGCCCAGGTGCAACAACTACAAAAGCAGTTGTCTGTGTTGAGTTTAGGGTCCCATGTTGCTAGTGGGCAAGAGCCTCCGCGAGCGAACCGGAACCCCGTTGCCTCAGGTAGATCCCCAAATAAAAGTAGTGAAGGATTTTTCTGCTATCGCTGTGGGGAGGATGGACACATTGCCCCAAAATGTAGAGCCCCTGAAAATTCCGCTCTTGTGATTCAGAAATTACTTCAGTTGATCCGTAAACCTAAAGATTTAAACCCAGTATCGAACCCCAAAAATCCCGACATAGAGAAGAGTGAATGTTTCTCTAAAAGGAGCCACGTGGAATCCTCAGAACCTAGTCATTTACCCAAAGGCTTGGTAGGGCCCTCTATATAAGACTCACTTTCTTAGCGCTCCTCAAACTTCTAAAAAAAAATAGCCTGCGTCGCTCGTTATGCTGGATGAATTCTTCAGCAGCTGCAATCATGTCTACTTTTGCCAGGACCTCTGTGTGTGCGTGGCAGCACATCAAGTCATTAAGCCTTCTCTGTGTCATAGTCTATCGCAGATACGTTTTAATACGTCTTAGTGTTGAGAATGATCTTTCAGCTGATGCTGTTGTGACGGGAATTGTGAAAAACAGTTTCAGTAGTTTGTGCACTTCTGATAGTAATGTTTTTGAAACAGGGACAGCATTCATAGCCTCACTGATGAATCTTCCTGATATTCTAGACTTTTCTTGAATGCCGGATGCCTTGATGATGTCTGGCAACATGCACAACTGTGCACATAAATTCACAAAGTCAAAATCCGCTGAGTACAAAGACGTTATAGAAGGCTGGAGAGTCGACACATCTTCCCAAGAGGCAGCTGTGAAAAGGAGTTTTTCCAAGTCCACCACTACCTTAAAATCTTTCTAATCAAAACGACGACAGACAGAAATCGGTTAGTAATAATTTCCATCAGAAGACAACTAAACAAAGGATCAATGAGAATTTCGAACTCAGGCCCTTATCAGTCCAGTGGTAAAGTGATAAGGGGGCTATACTTGCATTATATCATTGTCGGCCTGGCATGTTTTTACCGTTCTACGAATTTAAATTGTAACAGTAGCAAACCCACAAGAGTGGTCAGGTGTTAATTTGCACTTTAACATTCAAAGTACAGTACTAAGTGGCATACTTAATGTGGTGTTCTGAAAAGTACCTAAACAAACCAGCAGACAATGCATTTACGGAACAGGGCAAAAACAA